TTAATTGACTGGCTGGTCCATGACATGTAACAAACAATGCTTCTTATTCAGCTGGCTGCTGGTCAGCAGGTCTTAACAGAAATGCTTGTATTAGACAACATATTTCAACCCTCAGTGCGTGCCATGTGTGTGTGTGTTTCGGGCTGCTGGCCAGCAACCCTCAGCATGACATGGAAACAAACAAGCTGGCCCTTCAAATTCACAAGTCTCCATTTCCGTCACAGGTCAGCGAATGCGTGGCCACATGACAGGTTTGACATATGATGTTTTCAACATGTTTGTGGAGGCTGACTAGTCTCACAAAAACAACGACTCTCATGTGTGGCAGCACCTGTCAGAAGCTTGATGAGACAAGGCGAGTCTGGTTTCTTTTTTTTTAGGGGGCTGATGGAGTTTTCTTCAAAGCTGCAAATTGAAGCCATGTTGAAGTTTGTACCCGGTTGAATGACCCATCACAACCTACATCTGTGTGTACAACTCCATATTTATATGAATGTGACACCATGTATACGCATATAGTCTATATCATATCATAAATATATAAAAACATAAACACACATGCATTCACACATTTATTTGCATCTCTACGTATGATATCTAATTTGGTATATGTACACGTTTACCGATTTTATGGCACACATGTGTGATGTATGTATTTATGACAGTGAGTTGAAAGGGGGGCAGGCACAGGGACACAGAGAGAAGAGAGAGAAGAGAGAGAGAGAGAGAGAGAGAGAGAGAGAGAGAGAGAGAGAGAGAGAGAGAGAGAGAGAGAGCGAGAGGGAGAGAGAGAGAGAGAGAGAGAGAGGGAGAGAGAGAGAGAAAGAAAAATACAGATAGAGAGAGAAAGAGAGAGAAAAAACAGAGAGACTGAGAGTCAGTCCCACGTTGCTAAACCCTTGTATTCCCCCATTCTCGCTTAAACACCAGTAAGGAAACTGAGGACGTTTTACGATTTCTGCAAGCAGCGCGCGACCCTCTGCGGAGATTCGCGTGGTCGAGGTTCAAAAACTGAGGACTTGTTACGATTTCTGCAAGCCGCACGCGACCCTCTGACGGAGATTCGCGTGGTCGAGGTTCAAAAACTGAGGACTTGTTACGATTTCTGCAAGCCGCGCGCCACCCTCTGCGGAGATTCGCGTGGTCGAGGTTCAAAAACTGACGATTTTTACCGGTTTATGCGGCGCGCGCGAGACCCTCTGCGGAGATCGTGTGTGTCGAAGCGCTCTCGCTGCGGCGCTGTGCGAAAGGGCCTTTGGAAGTTGTCTCGTGGTTTGCGCGCCTGCTTTCGCAGTCCCGCGGTCGCGGGTTCGATTCCCCCCTGGTCCGCGGCTCCGGCTTGAAAATCGCAGTTTTTAAGTACAAACGTAGTACGCGGAGCGTGCTCCTGCAGCTCCGGCTGGAAAATCGCAACTTTAAAGTGCAGACGTAGTATGCGGAGCGTGCTCCCGCAGCTCTGGCTGGAAAACCGCAACTTTTAAGTACAAACGTAGTACGCGGAGCACACTCCCGCAGCTCCGGCTGGAAAATCGCAATTTTGAAGTACAACAAAAGTACGCGAAGTACATTCCCACAGCTCCGGCAGCACTTGCGCAGAGCAACTTGCGCAGAGTGACTTGCGCAGAGTCACTTGTGCAGAGTCACTTGCGCAGAGCAACTTGCGCAGAGCAACTTGCACAGAGCACTTGCACGAAGCACTTGCGCAGAGCAACTTGCACAGACCAACTTGCACAGAGCACATGCGCATGCGCGGAGCAACTGGCGCAGAGCACTTGCGCAGAGCAACTTGCTCAGAGCACTTGCGCAGAGCAATTTGCACAGAGCACTTGCGTGCAGCAGCTTGCGCAGAGCACTTGCGTGCAGCAGCTTGCAGAGAGCAACTTGCGCGCAGCAGCCTGGAACAATGCAGCTTGCGCAGACCACTTTCGTGAGAATTCGCGCGGCACAGTTCGTGCAAAGCACATTGTGCGCCGAGCAGACTCGTGCAGAGCCAACTGGCTCTGTGCAAGTTGCGCAGAGCCACTCGCGAAAAGTAGCTTGCGTAGAGCCAACTTTCACAGGGCCAAGCTGCGCAGAGCCATCTTGCACAGAGCTAAGTTGCGCGAGCGTGCTTTGCAGAAACTGTGGCCGCCGTGTAAGCTTTGCTATTGATTGCTTTTCCTTTTGCTTGTAATTCGTTTCGAGCTTTACGAGCTTTACTCTTCTTGTTTTACCGGATGTAAATATGTGGGATCGAGCGCTGCCATGTTTCCTCTCGTAGGACGATGAGATGGAGCTCTGATGTGACCATACACATTGAGCATCGCCGCGTGCAGACACGCTCGCCGCAGCGATGTAAAAAGGTGTCTCCGCGGCTGGATGAGCACCTGGGGAAAAATGCTTTCGGGCCAATCGTCCTCTAGTTCTATCATGTGCATCATCAATATTTTAATCATATTCTCATCATCATGCTTGATCATCATTCTCACCATCGCTCTCATCATCATTTTCATCATCATCATGTTCATCATCATTCTTATTGTCATCTGCAACATAGTTATCATCATTTGCATCATCATTCTCATCAAGAATCTCATCATCATCATCATTGTCGTCATCAGGTGCATCAGCATTCTCGTCAACCCGGTAGGAAGTCGACCAAGGTCTTTTGGAACACGTTATGTTCCCAGTTATCATGGTTTCCCAATTATCATCATTAATTAGGATAATTTGCAGACTCCGGCACGTAACTATCATAATTACCCTAATTAGGATGATTAGGATAGTTAGAAATAAATGTTTTCCACAATTAAAAAATGATTTTTAGGTTAACTTGGATCATTAGGATAAATAAGATATTTAGGAAGTCTGAGCACTCCGCTTGACCTAATTACCTTAATTATCCGGATATTTAGCGAAACACCAGGACCAATTTGAAAGACTTGGTTTCATTTACAGACGCCTTCTGGGAGCTTCCATGTTAGTTTGAGGGAGTGTATGTTTTTCCAGAAGGCCTCGCAGATGCACGGCCTGACCTCTCTCTGCTGGCAGGCTCAACCGGCCAAGTCAGCGTCATTTTCATCATCATTTTCATCTTTACTCTCATCATCTTTTTCATCATCGTGGTCATCATCATGCTCATCATTGTTCTCATCATCTTTTTCATCATCATGGTCATCATCATGCTCATCATCATTGTCATCGTGCTCATCTTCGTGCTTATCATCATCATGTTTGTCATCATGCGCATCATCATTCTTCAAACCAGTGTCAGCACCATGTTCATCATCATGCTCATCATCACATATTCATCATCATTCTCATGATCATCATTTTCGTCATCCCAATCATCCATGTAGGAGATTGTCGTTAAAATGTGATGATGAAAATGATGATGTGCATAATGATGATAATGCAGATGAGAATGATGATGAGCACGGTGAAAATGATGATGATGATGATGATGCTTATGATGCTTATAACTAACATGAGGATGAAGATGAGGGTGAGAATAATGATGAGCGTGATGATGAACATGGTTTTCCCCCGTTTGACTTTCTACCTGGTTGAGCCTGCCAGTAGTCAGAGCTTAGGCCATACATCTCATCTCCAAGGCCTTTTGGAAAACAGTTTTTCTGAAAAAAAAATTAGGCTAAATGTCCTAACTTAATTAGCGCGCGAGGTTCCGAATTATCCTAATTATCGTAAGTATCTACAATAATTAGGCAACTAGTGTTTGTACTTATCATATTATCCTAATCAATTGGACAGTTCGCTGACATGTTTGCCCTTTGACAGCGAGTGTTTCACATACTACATTTGTGCTGGTTATTTGTGATTTCAAGCTGGAGTTGCGGCTTTGCGCTTTCGAGCTGGGGCTGTGGCATTGCGCTTCGCTAACTACACGTGTGCTGAGAAAGTTGAGATTCTCGGGCTCGCCTTCCTTGACACAGCCCCGTAGCAACCCGTAGCCCAGCATAAGCTCACCCACAGCCAGCCAAAGCCCAACCGAAGCCCCAGTCCAGCCTAAAATTCACCTGGCCGCAAATTACGCAGCAACGCAACACGGAACTCATGCATGTGCTTGCTCACTGTGACTTTAGTATGGGGATGTTTCCCACGCAGCCCCTCTTTCAGCTGACGGAATCTTTTACTGCCCGGGTGAAATGAAATCTTTGACGGGCGAGCCACCGATACGCCCAAAGCCACCAGTAAGCCAAACAAAAACACCGACCCGTTCAGGGGACGCGTGCGGGGTTTACATCTGGGGTTTGGCGTTGTGAGGCGCAAGGCTTTGGGGGTGAACAGTGTGTATTTGGTAACTTTTCTTAAAAAGTTATGTCATCAACATGAACGATTGGAGCCCTTGAAGTTGCTGTCACTTGCGGTTTACATGAAGCTTTTTTCACAGCATGAAGACGCGACACGATGATCGAAGCAGCGCGCGTGCTCGTATTGATGATGCCACGGATACAATTTGAAGGCAAACACAAAACCTCGCCTGTTTGTCATTTCAATCACTTCCTTCACGCTCCATAACTATTAGAAAATCATTCTAAGCTGGTAAGGGCAAGATCGCAACAAAAGGAAGGCCCAACTAACCGGCAGTCGCGTTTTTGTGAAAACGTTGTCAGAAAGCCTTTTGCTCATTAAACGCGCAGACGGCTGCGAGGACACTTCGGGGACATTGCACGATTTTTTGTGAAGAGCTTGGATCGTTTGGTAAGTGAAACCCAGCTCAGCTGAAAACGCTGAACACCGACAAGGAGCATCACGAACCGATCAGAAGTTATACGTTCGCAGCACGTTGCAACGTGTCTTCCATTCCGGGTTGAGAACAGTCTGGCTTGCAGGGAAGTGTAGCCCCACCGCAAACCCGGGCAATGTAAATGCGCATCTTGTGTGACTGTGTAGTCCTTCACCCTTAAACATATTCACATCGGCGTTGTAGAAAAGTAGGTGTGTGTAGCCACAATTTGGCTACGCTGCGCGCAAAACATTTCAGTTTGCAAGAAGCGCAGGCTGGAAGCAGGAAGCTTTGCTGACACAGATGTCCCACTTCCTGAGGGACAGGAACCATTGGCGGCATTTGCTGGATCTGTTTAGTTGCAGGAAATATTACGCGTGCGCTTTGCAAGCAGCGCAGCCGAAGAAGGGAACGACGCCGAGTGACATGTCAGGGTGGGATGCAAGCCACAGGAGTTGCTTGATGGCAACGGCGAATGCCAAGAGAGCCAACGACGTGAAGGGTCTCCAACTGTTCCTAGGACCGTGGGACTGGAATCTCAAGCTCCTCTCGCCCATGTGCGCAAGAGAGGCAGGCGCCTTCAGCGCAATGAGAGAACGCGAGCCGGAGCACTGTCAGTACTTCGAACATACACAAAGCAGCGTTACTTTCTCAAACTTGTCTGCCATCAGCAGAGGGTTCAGAACACACGACAGGGCTGTTTTTGGCTTGGAAGCAGGAGAATGTATATCAACTGCTTGCGCCCGCATCTTGCATTGGGCGGGCGAGGTCTGCACCTCCGCGCACGCTGCATGGATGCAGTTGGAGCATGGGACGCACGGCCAATCTCAGCTGCCAGTTGGAGTCATTGATGGCACGTGGCGCTCCCTCCACATGTTCCAGGTAGTTGCCTTAAACAGTTCAACAGTTATAATGAGCAGCCGCTAACTGGGTCGTTTAAAGGCTCGCCGTGCCAAATATCCGCTTTTGGACGTGGGTCATGCAAGCCACAGATTCAAGATGCGCGCAGAAGAGGAAACAATTGAAGATGCCACCGTCTACATACAGATTGGTTCTCGCTATCTTTTACATTGTCCTTTGCTTCATTTGTTCGCGTGTGGCTCGGCGTCGATAGGATGGGATCTTGATGCTCTGTTTCTTGCGCTGTCGACTTGGTGTGTGTGGATGCCAAGCCGTGCATACCTACCGACCTACCTTTCTACCCACCTGCCTGCGCACGTACCCACTTCCCACCCTCCCTACACACGATGATACCAACACACGCGCCTACCTACTTACATCCGTACATTGACGTACATTGAGTCACATCGACACACATTAACATCCGTTGACATCCATTGACATGCATTGACGCACAATAGCAAAGTACACACGTGTCACACACATACACACCTACACACACACAATCGTATTTATAAAAACAACATCCGTATATAAATTCGTATACACACACGCGCAGACACACATAAACACACATATATATATATATACGTACGTACATACAGTCACGCATGCCTACACACATACAGACACACACAGCCGTACATACACATAAACATACATACGCACACGCACACAGACCACATACACACACACACGCATGCACACATTCACATATGTATCTAGATTCACACTTACACACTTACACACTTGGATACACACATGCATGCACACATACCCACACACATACATACATACATTCATGCACATACAGACCCGCAAACACATACGCACGCACATACGCACTCATGCCCATGTGCCCCTATGTGAACATGTGTTCTGACAGTCCGGCGCACGCAAAGCCAACTTTTGTATTAGCCGGTTTTGGCTGAAATAATGGTTTGCAGAAATTTAGAAAACTGAGGCCCTGGAAAGCGCAGGTTCTGGCTGATCTCTTTGTTTAGTGGCCCTCAAGTTCAAAAACAAGTCGACGCAGCTTTGTACCTCCCCACCGTATCTTCAGATTGCTTTGGGCGAGCGCTGCGTCCCGCATACTTACGCCAGTCGGACAAGCCGCCACGCAGCGCGGAAAGATGAGCGAGCGAAGGTGCTTTTTGAATCCTGTGTCGCTTCTATCCGCATCATGTTCTGTCAAGTCTTGCGCCTGAACCTGGGAACAGAAGCCCGCAAGTTCCCAGGCCCCGCCGCCTGTTTCCTTTCGCAAATTGAGTCCAGCGCTAACGCAGGACAGGTCAAGTCTTTGTCAGGCTTGGCTTGGCAGTCTGGCCTGACTGGTCTCGTTTTCTGGGCTGGGTTGTGGCGTCATGTTTAATATTTGTGCTTAGATGTTGACGAAGGTCGGTGCGCGGGACAAAGTGCAGGACAAACTGCTGGACAAACAACTGTCCGGCAAGTTGTCCGGGGGTTGTCCGGAGGGTTGTCCGGTTTGTCCGGAGGGTTGCCCACGCACTTTGCCGAGATTTCTCGCGTGGTTGCTGGGTGGTTTTGAGCGGGTTCCAAGTGGTTGCCGAGTGGTTTCCGAGCGGTTTCTGAGTGGTTTCCGAGTGGTTTTGGCGTGTTCCAAACCTGTCAGAAGACTTGTCCGGGGGGTTGTCCCGGGCTTTGGGTCCTCAAAGCTGCGCGGAGGGTTGTGCGGGGGTTTGTCCGGGCCTCAAAGCTGTCCGGGTTGTCGGGGGGTTTGTCCGGGGCTTTGTCCCGCCGATTTTGTGCCCGCAAAGCTGTTCGGGGGTTGTCCGGGCGGTTGTCCGGGGCTTTCAGCGCATTTGGACCCAACGTATGAGAACAAGTGTTTATGTAGAGCCGCCTTTGTCAACTTAGATGTCCGTCCATCAGAATCCATTGAACTTCATGAAGCTCCCTTGGATTCTCATGAAAAATGGAATTTCATGCAAATCTACCGGACTTCATGAAAATCCATCATTGGCGCCTTTGGGGTTACCCAGTCGTCCGGGCAGCGTTCGAAGCCGCCATGAGAGCAAAAATGCCACCTCCAAAGAAATCATTGAACATGAACAAAAAATCATAGAAAGCACTGAAGTCACAAAACCCGAAGGGTGCCACATTTTGTCACACAAATGGCAGCCCGATTGCAAAAATCACAAGGCAGCTTGTTTGACCTGAGCTTATCCAGGCTCAAAATGTTGACGGACCAGTTGTTTCTTGCAGTTGGCGGTTTAAGGTGCGGCGATTTTGCTTGCTCCAGTTCTTAAGGTTCCGCGATTGTGCTTCTGCCTGCGGCTTGGCCCTGGAAGGCTCCAGCTTTTAAGGCGCAACGGTTTTGCTTTTGGTTGGGCCAAGGTTTTAAGGCCCCGCGCGATTTTGCTTTTGCTTGCGGCTTGGCTTTGGCAGGCTCCAATATTTAAGGTGCCACGATTTTTGTTTCTGCTTGCGGCTTGGGTTTGCCAAGCTCCATGTTTTAGCTTGCGCGACTTTACTTTTGCAGCCTGAGGTCAACCGTTATCCCGCTTGCTTAGCGCCGCGTCTATTCACAATTTTGTTGGAAATCGTGCTCCTGGCAAGGCAGCTTCCCAAACTGTGCCCACCTGACTGAAAAAACGCGCGCGTGCTTTTGCAAGTTGAATCGCCCAAAAGCCGCAGGAGGCGCCAACAGATAAGGGCAATGGAAATGTCAACGCGCGTCAGCATTCAGGAGGTCGCTAGTAAGCGCTGCCTTGATCAACGCACCTGCTTTGGCCGGGTGCTTCGTCAGGAGTCTGCTAGGCAATCTTCACTTCGTACATGCGCAAGGGTGTGCGCCTGCCCGCAGGAGACAACGCCGTACCAGGCAGCTTCACGCATCAGGTGTGAGTCGAACACATGTGGGATGACTACGTCGGTACGGTTGAGGCGGATATGATCGAAGATGTGGACCAAAGTTGTTGGGCGGATAGCATCCCGAAAATGGCGTGTTGGCCTTGCTGCTCCACTCACAAACAGAAACTACGAGAGAGTTTCCGCGTTGCCACAACGCGACGGTTTCAAGGTCCGTGGCTCTCCAATCCTAAGGCTGTCGAGGCTATCAGAAAAGAGTGGTCAGTTCTACACAAGCAGTGTGTTTTCGATGTGTTGAGTGCTTGGGACATGGATGGCGTGCGGTCGGAAGCTTGTCCTCTTGAAGAAATCGTTCATTTCGCCAGGGTCCATGGCAGAATGGTTGAACAGATGCGCGCAGCAGGAGCGCGAAGGAAATTTAAGTACCGGGTGGTGTTGTTGGGCAACCAAGTGAAAGATCAGGAGGGTCACAGCCGTTTCGGTGGGCGCCGAATGGCCAATCCGTTTATGTCAACAGGCCCTTGATCTGCTACTAGTGGTAGATGTTGATGACGTCAAACTGGCGGGTCCAAAGGAACACCGAAGAAGGGATGGGGTCTCCTTCGCACGCAGCTTGAGATCGAACCCGAGACTGGGTCAGGCGCAAACTTGCAATCAGGCAAAAGGAATCACCTCTCTGCTTGGATGGGCGGCCTACTTGCTATGCAATTGGCGAACTTAGGCGTAGTACGTCCGTTTAGTCTGACAGTCCATTTGGCGAGTTAGAGGACTTAGCTAAGCAGATGCTGCGCAGTTCTAAGTAGATAGCTAAGTCCCCTAACTAGCCAAGTGGACTTACCCAGGTTGTAAGTCCGCCAAGTCTTAGCGGACTTACTAACTCAAGTTAGGCAACTCGCAAGTGGCTTAGCAAGTCGATTAAGTTCGCCAACTACATAGCAAGTAGGCCGCCCATCCAAGCGGCGTACAAGTCAATACGGCGACCTATGATGCGGAGGAATTCTTGGAGATGTCTGTGCAGAAGTACAAGGATTGCACGTGCCAAGTTAAAGGGCGCAAAGACGCCTTCACTTTCAGAGGATGCGTCGCCAGGCCAGAGAACCTTACGCTGGCGGTAGACGCGTCGAACGTGCCTGGTGTAGAGACACATTCAATCCCGATGTTTCGTGGACTCCAGACAAGACACCCGAGCCGGGCGCGCGGAAACTCTTTCAAGGGAGAGTTGGCGCCGCGCGCTTACCTAGTTGCTGTTCGCAGCGTGTCTGGCGCGCGCCACGTCACCACATGGAGCAAAGAAGGCCACGAGCGACTGCGCCACTGTGTAGATGCACATTTGTCAGGGTGTGCAGATTCCCCATCTCGGGTTGTCAGGTTTCCTTACGTAATGGCAAGAATACCCGTTTCTCATTGGTGAGCGACAGAAAGCGACAGAGTTGCGTGAGCCACTCCACTCCAGAGGCAGAAATCGTAGCAGCTGAAACGGCAGAACGCAATCGTGGGTCACCGTGTGCAGAGTTCTGGTTCGGGGCAAGACAAATGTCATATTGCACACTGCTGCTTTCCGTCTGCAACATTTGAATCATATGCATGGTTTCGCTTCTGTTTCGGCGTTACGAGGCTACTTGCATGGGTCGTATGAACAGATCGTGGTACTGTGTCTTCAGCACCTCATGCGTGCAATGATGTTCCTCAAAGACGTTGCGCCGTTGCGCTACTCAGTCTTTCTCTCTGCTGATCTGATAGTTCACTCTGCGTGATGAAGAACTGTGCAATGAGGTTATCGTTGAGTGGAAGCGTCACGATGTATCTGCCGCATGCCATTGACATTTTGTCTCAACATCTCCGGGTCGGCCGGCTTCAGGAGTTGCACGGGCGGCGCTCCAGCCTGAGCCGGTTGCTGAGGCTGCGCGGCTCTCCTGTTACACTGACTGAAGGTAGTCTGGCGATTGCGCCGCAGTGACGAGAACCAGGTTCCTGCTTTCAATCTTGGTAGCAAGGTCTCGAACTCGGAGATGAAAATGAGAAACTCTGTGTTGTGCCTCCTGTGATGGAAGAAAACTGTGGAGTTGATGAGGTTACACGTCGGTCGTTCCTTTCAGCAAGTAAATCTTCCGGATGTTCTTGAAGCAGGTGACCTTTTGTTGTCACGCAACTCCCGACGCATGAGTGCATTGCCCAGAGTCGGCGTTTGAGGAGAGGTTCCCCCGACTCAACGCTTCATGAGACCCAATCATCAATAAGTTCCTCATAGCTCAACCAGCACGATGGCGGCTTCTTGACGGCCATCGGTGATTCTTGTCTCCCGGCCCCGCAGTCGAACCGGGGGCATTTCTTTTTAAGGAGAAGATACCCACCGTAGTAGCAGCGCTTATGGCCCCGGATCTGTTTCAACCGGATGCTTGACGGATCAGTTGGAAGCCCCTGGTATATGTATTGTTGGTATTGGCGCACGTGGAGCGAAGCGCAGCGAGCAACGCAACTGAAGACAAGGGCCTTGAGCTACAATATAACATGCGTGAACAATGATTGCTCGAAGGTCAATGGTCTGCGAAACACAGAGCAGGGAAAGGGGGTTAGGGACGCTGCGCCACAGACGACACACACACACACTCACACCTACCTCCTGACTTGATTCTCACAGGCAGGAAAAGACGGAGACAGAGACAGAGGCAGAAACAGAGACGGACAGGCAGACAGAGGAGGCGAGGGAGCGAGAGCCAGAGAGGGAGAGAGAGACAGACGCACCAACCGACCTGCCTACATGTTTGCGTCCACACAGAGCTATCTACGTAAGGATGTGCAATGGAAATGCGTGAGAAGCTGCGGCCAGTCTGTGGCTTGAATGGGTAGGCTTTGGAATCGAAAAGTTTGAAAGTACTGATGGCGTTGCGCTAGTCAATTGTCCCGCGTCAAACACCACGCTAGACAGGGAGGTGTTTCCGCTGCACGCGCGCGTGATGTCAGCACTCTTTGAGGCCGGGCTTCAGGCTGGGCTCCGTGATACCTCTCCGTGGAGCAGACAGCTTGCGCCGTGAGCTGTTGACCTTCTACGTGCCTGGGAGCCAGCTTGATTAGAGCCAGCAGTCTGTGGAACGATTCACTCTCAAGTGCTGACGCGCTGTCAAATCCCTGCTTGTCAGTCAGGCAGAGGGTAGCTGGACGCGCGTTCATGTTTGCATCGGTTCACTTTGAACACAAGAGCTCATTTCCTTTGGGGGTGGTCATCTCAGGCAAAGCATAGTTTGGACCAAGGATAAGCACGACGATGCGTTTGCAGACCTGATCATCCATCTCAATGAAGGCGGCGGCCCATGTTGCCAGCCTGATACCATGAGTCAAGCACTCCCGTCAGGGAAGATGAGTGCATGTCAAGCAGCCAGGACTGTAAAGCATCATGTTTCAATCTGCGCCCGGGACAAAAAGTCTCATCGCCTTCCACGCAGGCGCCGTTTGCGCGCGTTTGTGGGAACGTGTCCACCACAAAGTGTAGTCTAGCGCAGGTGGCTTCTGTAATCACTCAATGCTGCAGGCGCTGTCTTTGCCAACGCTGCGATCGTTGAAGCCAGAATGCCGGCCCTTCTTTTGTCTGCAGAGGCCGGGTTTTCAGAGCTCGGAAGGGGATATATGCTGAGGGCTTGTAAATCACAGATTGCTTGTCAGCCTTCCCCCCAACCTTCTGGCCAGGCGTTGGGTGAAGCGGACCCTGCATTGGTGCTGGATGACCGCAACAGGAGCCGGACCTCGACGCTGTTCAGCAATTCAATGAGAGGGCGCGCCCGGCGCCAGCATCGAGGCAGTGCGACACGCATAACCATTCCTGTAAGGCTTGCTGCGGTTGGCCGAAGGCAGTTTGGCCGACAGCTAGTGATCGACGCAGTTTCATGATGGACACGGCGTGGTGTATCTAGCCAGGTGCGTCCTCCGAGAGTGCGCTGATTGTGTTACGCATTCCTTTGGTGTGATAGCTGGCGCGCGAAGCATCGTGAAGCCCAGCACCGGCAAAGGCCCAGCGAGCAGCGTGCAAGAACAACACGAAAGAAGATTGCGAAGGTGCGGTTCTGCAATTTGCTGCGCGAAAGGAGCACACGGGGCCTTCAAGCAAGGGGCCGCGAAACTTGGCATTGTTCAGCCACCAAAGCCCAAATCTTGTTTCGGGCTCTTTTGTTCTCGATGGTTAACGCATGTAGCATGTAGCAGGCCAACAAACTTGCGCGCCGCACTGCCTAAAGTGTACTGTGCTTGCTGGAAGTTTGCAGCCTCAATCGCAGCTCCTCAAGTGTACGTCGTGCACTGCGCTCGTGCTGAGAAGTTGTGAGTTTCAAGGCAGGGCTGCCAACGTGAAATTTGCGTAGGCCCTGCAGCTTTCGAGCTGCAGCTGCCTCATCCTTTGTGCTCTGCGTTTGTACTGCAAGTTGCGAGAGCTGCTAAAGTGTACTTTTTGCGCTGCGCTCGTACTCAAACGTTGGGACTTTCAAGGCAGAGCTACCAAAGTGTACTTTGCGCATTGCCGTTGCTGGAAAGTTGTGGCTCTCGAGCTGGGGCTGCTACTGTGTACTGGGCTGCCAAAGTGTGCTGCGTGTAGCGCCCTTGTCTTGGCAAGTTGCGACTTCCGCGCTGGCTTTTAGGCGAGTCCGCAAAAGTTAGCCCAAGAAGCTCCGCGAACGGCAGCCTAAAGGGCGCGAAAGGTTCGCAAAAGGCTTTACGCAGGCAGATAAGGAACACAATGCCGCTGATTTGATGTTCACCTTGCCCAGCTTTGCCTGCAGGAGATCCGGCCTGCGGCATGTTCGGCTTTGCGGGCTGTCGCGGGCGACGCTTCACCTTCTGTTGCGATGGGCCTACGCTGAGGCTGTGCCCTCCTTTGGCCTCTCAGTCGCACACACACGCACACACAGACCACTGGGTTGCCAGCTGGACAGGTAGTGTTAACTTTGGAGGACCGTGCTAGTCAGCGGTGGTGCCCTGTGTCCTCAGAAACAGTTTGTTAAAGATTTTGTCCTCTTGGGTCAGGTTTGTGTTTCTGACGATTTTGCAGAAATTTGATGGTGTTTGACGTTTTTTGGCGGATCTTGTCAGGTTTCGTTGACCCCTGTCTTTTTCAATTTGGGCTGTCGTTCTTGTTCGTTACTTTAGCTTAGGGCTTGCTGTTGTTGCTGTTGCTGCTGTTGTCGGTTGTTAGTTGTTTGTTTGCCTTCTAGTTTGTTTGGTTGGTGTGTATGTCTGTCTGCATGTATGTCTGTATGTATGTATGTATGTACGTATGTGTGTATGTATGTGTGTGCGTGTGATGTGGTGTGATGCGTAAGTATGTATGCTTGTATGCCTGTCAGGTGTAACTCGCTGAAGCGGCAATGTAGTTAAATTATGTATGATAACATTTAGACTATTTGCTTAGAGGGGCGTGACTTTGCCGGCAAGATCCAGATGTGAGATGCTGCAGTTGGTTTTCCCCTGCCGGCGTACAGGTCACCAGCTACCAGGGTCGCTGCGTGGTGTTGCCGTCCTGGGGTGTAGCTTTGGCGGCTAGTCCAGTTGGGCCAGCTGCTGATGGAAGATGAGGGGCGCAGCCCAGCTAGACGCCTTGACCCCATCTTGGTCAATGGCAGGGAGCGCGCAAGGCAACATTTGCTTGAGGTGGAGTTGTAGTTTTGTTGGTAGGTTGTGTTTGCCCTTTGGACGCAAGAGTCTGTCGCACGTGGGCTGCCCTGCGTTAAATTTCTCCTGGTAGCAGGCACGGGGCTGGACATGCTGCGCTTAACGTGGCGTGCCAGAAGTCCCCTTTTTATGGGTGATGAATGGTGTCTGGAGCCCATGTCATAATGCGTAGGCGCGCGCTGCAGGATATTCTTACCGGACTGATACACCTTGAACTTCTTGAGGTCCAGCGGGCAGCCGTGGAAGTACAAGAGGCGCAGCGCTTCGCGGAGGGCGCGCGCGATGCCAATTTCAGCGCACGGCAAGCCGGAACACGTTGCGTTGCGCACGTCTCGCTCTCTCGCGCGACAGAACATGGGCAAATCAAGCCGGGGCAAGTGGCAACGCCCTACGTGCTATGCCGAACTGAAGCGAGAGCGGCAGTCCGATAGAAGCTTTTGGCGCTCGCATGGAAGGTTAACGTGAGCAGACAGCCTCAGTAGGCAGAGCTGGCGACGGGGCGGGGCGGATGCTGCTCGCGGCCAGTAGTGGTGCCGGCGCCAGTGGCTCAGGTCGGGTTGGCAGAGCATATGCACCTCGCTCGCACGCTGGGCCGCACGTGTAAATCGTCACCTATTTTCGTTCATGATCCGCAAAAAGTCAATGTCATCCATCAAACAGTAGTGAGCGAGCGCACCCTGGACGTGACGAACAACCTGTGACAGCGTGTTGAAACATTGACGAAGTTTTGCTTGGAGCACCAGTGTTATTTACATGAACTGGGTCGACGTGCCATGCCACTTGTTGAGCTGAGCCCTTCGGAGAGGTTGCGCTTGATTTTTTTCGGCGTGTTGCCCGGCTGCTGCTGCGATTTGTGAACTGATCCAGTTGTGTTCTGGCAGTTGTCGTCATTCACAAGATCCCGAAGAAGCGCCTGAAATATTGAAGACACCACGGATGACATTGGATATGCATCTTGCGTTTGAGCCTTTGCCACTTCGTCAAGACTTAGTGTCAATGGCAATGGAGATTCCGCTTGTGTGCGAGGAGTTCGGCATGTGCAACAATGATTGCGAACCAACACCGCAGGGTTCGAGACTTGCCGATGAATTGGCGCGTTAGCAGCAGCAAACGCCGAGTAAATGGAATGTGAGGCAATGGCCGGACGACCTGTCGCATGTCTTTTGTACAACCGTCATAGGTGTGGGCCCAGTCCATATTTGTTTTGGAAGCTTGGCAGCAGCCATTCGAGTGAGTGGTGCCAGAAAGAAGGCTTCACAACAATTGCAGCAATGAATTGCGACGATTACCCACATAATCAATCGTGGGACCTGCACGTGCAACAATTTGGACTGCGCATACGCTGGGTAGGAGTAGTTCCTGGGCAACATGGACGACGATTGGAATTGGTGTTGTGGGACACTCTCAGAAGAATGGGCTGAACAAGCTCAGGCGCATTTAATCTAAGTTTTGCTATGGCATGTTCCATGACTTGGAAGCCCAGTTTGCGGAGCGTAGGGCACGTTCCCTGGTCATGTGCCTGGAACAGTCGGGTGGAAATGGTTTGCAAAAAAGGCGCCAAATACTGCGTTCTCATTATGGCGGGATGCACAGTGTGGCAGTACTGCGGGAAACATATGACTTTCTTGACGGAAAGAACTTTGACTTGCCCAACTTGTTTGCATCACTGTTTGAGTTGTGATGACTCAGCGAAACACAATGAAAGCATCCAGGGCTCAGCGCCACTCTGTGACGAATCGTGGCAGACATTGTCGTGGACCAACCGGCAGAGTGGTGGCAGCCGCGTCCTTTGGCAGCAGCACAGTGAATTTCAGCCTTGATTTGACCTGGCAATATTTGTTTATTCTTTGTGTAGTGATGCGATCTAGGTCGGTGAATTGAGAATTGACAATCAATTGTTGCGACAGTTTTCAGCCACTGCTACACACACCTGAGGGAGGGGTGCCGGTTTGTCCGCATCGAGTTCTCCCCGGAGGGTCTGGAGACTTTTGTAAAGCTTGCCCGCCCTGGTGGGAAGAAGAAGGAAGGATGTTTCGTGAACTTTCTTGGCCCGAGATGCGTCGGGGAGAAATGGTGAAAGCGATCATTGCCGACGCTAATGGAGTTGACCTTTCTGCAGACGGTGCTCGGGTGAAGAACGTCCGCAAGTCAGCAGTCGGCGGCTGGGGAAAATAAGGGCCCAGTGTCCTCCCCACCTGAGCCGGAATCGAGCCTCCGTGATGACTTGGGAACGGATAGCCAACAACTTGCTCTGATTGATACCTGATTCCTACTTGGCAAGTAGATTATGGCAATATTTAGGTTGCCTTTGCTTGTCCGATGGAAGCACGCGTGCGCTTGTTGTTTTTGCGAGACATTCAATGGGCTTACGTCATAGCATTGGGTGGATGTGCCCGCTTCCAAGTCAAGTCAAGAGCTCGCCTGCTGATTGAAATGGCAGTCAAGTCAAGGGCGTGCTACCAGTTCGCATGATATTGCATAATCATCAATCACTGTAGTCAAACTCACTTTGCGTGTTAATTATGGCCAGTCATGAGTTCCGAAATGGAATGTGAGTGGCAATCTTTCAGAAGCCAACGGCGGAAAAAGCAATGACTGAATGTAATATGAAACGCAGACAAGTCAGCAGCACTTACAACCGCTTCTAAGTGTTTGACGGCTGGTACTATGCATCAAAATCACCACAAAGGAGAAAGAAGCGCTTCTAAGTGTTGGTCGGCCGAACCGTTTCTAAGTTTTGAGCTCTCTGTTTTTTGTTTTATGTTTTTCGGGTTTAATCGTTTGTCGGAAATTTTGGAGACCAAACCCGTTTCTAGATGTGTATGTTCGTCACTATGCTTGGCTTGCGTCTGCTGCCATCAAGGCCACCGCGCCAGGAGACGCGGGATTTCAATAGCGCTGCGCAACAAGCGGGTGGCTTTGAACACAAGCTCAGCTAAGAAAGTCAGAACGCACGCTCAAGTCAACACGCTTGACATCCGGCTTCTCATTGCAGAATGTGATGAAGACGCGGTGTGTGGCGAGTGGCTTGCGCGATCTTTGTCCCAGACAAGATAGCATCAGCGGAAGCATCGCAAAACTGCTGAGGCGCACTTACCGCTTCGTGTGTCCTGGCTGCCGGTAACAATTGCTGCGCGTGCGCGTGTCTGACAGACTCACAGTATAGGAGAAACCATTCCTTTAGCCGTGGCTTTCCATGCAGTGGTCCAACCATGCCAATCATGCTGCATGTAAGGACATGCTTAGCAAGCAAATGCAGGGAGCGACCAGCCACTACGAGCAGACAGCGGTGCCGCAGGATGCACATGCTGCGCCACGCTTGCAGGCATTCAATCTAAATCCTATTGCCAACGACGTCTTTCAAACGTTAGCTCAGTCTAGTCATGGGTTTGCTCAGGTTCAGCCATCTGTGAGGGTCAGTCAGAAGTAGCACAGTCGGGCGCGAGGTTCTGCGTGGATGATTGGACTGACACCCGCTTGCCGCAATTGACAAACACAATGGCCGACTTATTGCGCCATGCGACCCCGTGATATGCGGATGCGGGTCAAAACCCCGCTACCCCCCGTACCCCCAGATTTCCTATAAAATTTGACCAAACAACTGGGGCCTGCGCTGTCAAGGATGAGAATCCATCATGGACTGGCGTTCGCTTACCCTTTGCTTGGCTAGTTTAGGAGGTGTTTCCTGACTACGAGTGGACCTCAGACGTCCCCAACTTGGAAACAGTGTCTTGGACAAGTTGCACACATGCGAAGAAGTCTAGGAAAACAGTCTGCAGCTAGGTCGCATCATTGGTGCCGGGGATGCGCTGGGCAGGTCGCATATTTGATGGACCGCGATGCCTGGCGCTGGTGTTCCTGCACTAATCAGCTGAACAGATAGGTCAAACGACGCGTATGCAGGATTGCTGTCCACTGCTGGCCAGATACCAGCGACGGCAACGAAGCTGGGCGCTGCTGCGCGCTGAGGCTGCTGTTGCTGTCCGAAATGGGCCGCCAGCCGTAGCAGCTGCGAGACGATTGCTTCAAGATACAACGCCTGATCTTAGGCGTCCGGCAAGGTTGGTTCTGGATGTGTGAAGATATTGGCTTCACATCAAGGCCCAGCGCCACATCTACTAAGTTCATTGCTGGTTCAACTCCCAGACACCAAGACCGTGGAGGATGCGCGCAATGCCGTCAGGAAGGACGCCAGAGAAAACCCCCGAAGCTGAGCTTCGGCATGATCCTGCCGATAGAAACACTGATGGCACAAAGCAGCTAATCGCAATAAACGCGCAGTCCAGAACAACCAGTTAAAGACTCACTGACTCAACACAGAAGGGCGAAGTGGGGAAGGAAGGTCCATCAATTCCTTCGTAGACCGAAACGCGCAGTGTCATGGCAGGCAGCAACAGTGTGAATCAGTTTCCAATCGTTGGGCAGGAACAGAACTTCCTCGGCGACCGCATCTCCACAATCTGAAGTACGACCCATCCCCATCCTCAGTTTTGGTCAGTGGCAAGCAATAATCAACAAACGTATCCGTGCCCGAGCATTCGTCTGCCTAGAGTTTGTCTGCCTGCGTGTTGCTTGCCATGTCAAGACGCAGATTGAAGCAACGGACGAGCAGGAACACCAAGAGTTTGGCGCTGTCAAGGCAGCAGCCAAAGAGTCAGGAGGCAACATGGCGCTGCTGTTTGGCAGCCCCTGCGGTGCCACAGAAGAAAGGCGAGGCGGCCAAGGCGAAAGCAAAGGCCAGGGCCGGCAAGACCGCTAAGACATAGTAACGCGAATGAGGCTCCCGCAAGGCCTCCATGTCTTGCTACGCCTGAGCGCGGGCGCATGGGCGGCGTACGGACGTGTGTGCGGACGGACGTGCGCGCGGACGTACGGATGCACGCGCGTGCGTGCGTACGGAAGCACGCGAGGGCGGACGGATGCACGCGCGGATGTCGGGGCGGAGGTCGCGTGCGTGCGGAGGTGTGCGCAGACATGCGCGCGGACGTGCGTACGGATGAAAACGCAGGCGTGGGGGGGCTGACGGACGGACGCGCGTGGCCAGAAAGATAAGGCCCTATTTCGACAATAAGGTCTTTTGGTTTCTTTAAGGCCGTTTTTCAACATTAAGACCGTATATTGAAAAGAAGGCCTACGGGCGGACGCATGTCCGTACGCCCGTACGCATGCCTGTACGCGCGCACGCCCATATGCCTGCCTGCGCGCACGCCCGCACGCCCCGCACGCACACCCGCACGGCAGCCCGCGCGCCTGCACGCACGCCCGTACGAACGCCCACACGCACTCGCGCACGCTCGTACGCCCGCGCTCACACCCTGCATGCCGCTCGTACGTACGCACGCGCGAAGTACTGTCAGCTTTTCTGGCCCAATGGTTGCATCTTCATCACTGCCTTGTTTCAGCGTTTGTTGAAGCGCAACGAGGCCTACAGTTATTGTCGTCCTGTATGTTCCTTGAACGCGTGTGGACTACCTCATTTCAGTTTGTTTCTTAGTTTCATCATCAGCCCACGAGATTATGAGCAATGCGGCAAGCATGCGTTCACTGATGGCCGCAAGCCATCACTCGAGCTGCCTTTTCGATTGCCCTAGTCGTTTTGTATTTGAGGATGCGGCAAAATTGTGTGATTCTGAAAACTGTCCCAGAGCCCACACGCGGCAGCCTCAAGCAGTTTCCGCGGAAGCTCCGCAGAAGGCCCGTCTTCCGAAGCCAGAGTCAGGCTCGCAGGCTTGTGAAAAGGTAGCCTCGGAGTCGCTGAAACTACACAGGATGTTTGCTTCGGAGGGGGGTGTAAATGTTGTCGTTGTGGCCAGGCTAGAGGAAGCCGTGAGAACAATGCGGGCTGAGCAAATGATACTGGTACTTGGCGCGAGGGTGTGCTTTCCGATCCTGGAGCTTCTTCATAGCAAGCAAGACCGGATAGCAAGCAATGCTGCGGGCTGTGTGAACAGCGTGTGACTGCATGAGGCGAAGGAGAGGACACTGTGAGCCTGGATGTTGCCTTTGACTTGCTGGAAGCCTGTCGCAAGTTCGAGGTCGAGCGTTTGGCCACGTTGCTGCGGGCGTCTCGGCAAATCGCAGGGAAGGTCGATTCGACGTGAACAGGTTGTTCGGCAAACCGCAAGCCAGCTTTGGATCACGGACCTGGGCCTCAAAGTGCTGAACGTGATAAACTCTGAACTGCTTCGTTGCCGCAACCAAAGCGGCTGGTACAAAAATTGGGTGTAATTGACTGGGGGTGTGCGTTCGAAGCCGTGCGTAAATCTCTCTCGGTCCAACACTGTGTCCCAAGGAGACGTTGCTGGAGTCTTTGGACTTGCCCCGCTTTGCCTCAGTACTGCGGGAGAGCCACTTGCGGCATCTGCCAGGCTTGAAGCAGGGCTGCATGCGCTTTGCGCTGCACAACTTTGACACTTGGTTTGCTTACCCGCAACGTTGCGACGCAAACTTGGTGAATGTTGTCTGATTGAGACATTGCCAATTAGCGTCCAATGACCATTGTAATGTAGGCACAACCAAAACGCGGGTAAGGGAAGGCTAGTGCGGGATAATCCTAACCATAAGAAGGCGCAGCCGCCTTATGTTGGTTCAGCCCAGCCCTGAAACCATTGAAGTCTTCATAAAGAGAAAACTCGCTATATGAACGTTTGCCTGAAGCCCCGCCTCAAGCCCCCCGAAGTCCCTCAAAGTCCCTGAAGCCCCGTTGCCCCCCTAAGGACCAGCTGGTTGAGCGTCCGGAGCTGTTCGTGAAAGACCTGTCAGAGCTTCCGGAGCGAACGGATGTGTGCGTTCACTTTCACTTGAGCCACCAAGACTGGCCTTTTTTCAATCTTGGCGTTGCGTTGAGGTGCTGACAGCGTTGCAGAGTGATCAGGAACTCTGCAAAGACAAGCGGAAGCAGGGCAACTGCAGGCAACACAAAGGAATTGGATCGCGTTCTTCAAAGTAAAACCATCAGAATGTGGAGCTGCGCTCCTCATAATCAATCTCTGCACTGTTTCCCTGCTCAACCGTGAAATCAGATATTCGGTCTGGTTACAACATCTCAAGTACACCTGCAAGAAAGGGCTTTCTCAACAAGACCCAAACTTAGCTGCCAGCGGGCATGACGTGTCAAAAGGGTCCACGAGAGAGCTGTTTGTATCTGCTTTCCTTAGCAGAGCGGGTGTTCAACATTTGGCATTCCCAAAGAAAGGCTCGGACAAAATGTTGTTGATCACCGTCATCTAGCAAGGGCCAGCAGACGGGCAAGGGCTGGCGGTGTGTTGACTTCCTTCAGACGCTGCGTGCTTGATGTTGTTTCGACGTGACTTCGACGTTTAGCAGACAGTCCGTGGCGGAACGAACGCACTTGTACAATGTAAACGCTCTGCTTCTCATAGTCCACAAAAAGATTTGTTTATCAACTTTAGAGCCTCCGGCTCATTCTGCCGACTTCTGGCACCTTCGGCGCCCCGAACCCCACATGGGCGACACACCGCCGGACAACCCCCAGAAAGACACTTGCAAACTGAAAAAGGGAAAGCCCGAACCCAACCCGCGGCTTGCGTGCAGAACCCCAGAAACCCTGCAAAACGCGCGCCTCGCCCGCCACGCCCGCGCCGAAGACAACCGCGAGAAAAGCTACAAAGCCCACGCAAAAACGCACACGTCACCCACCATGCCGGCACCCCAAACGCCACTGAAAAACGGGTGGCTCGGATTGGCACGGAGCAAAGATTCCAGCAGGTGGCTCATGTGCGGCGGAGATTTGCGTGTGGCGGATCCAACGACCCTTTGTCTGGCACGCTGGCGTCACGCGGCGTCGTAGCGGGGGATGCTGGCAATGTGAGTCTGACGGCGGGCGGGCGCGTGGCTCTTACATGCACCCGTCCCCCGCCAGCAATGTCGGTGGTGCCGGGGATGCTGGTGATGTTGGCTGTGGGCCACCCTCGGCCGGCGCGCACGGATCGGATTGATTGGAGCAGATCGGATGGATCGGACTGATCGGACAGAGTAGGGCAGATCGGACCGATTGGACAGCTCGGACGGTTTGGGCAGAATCGGACAGATCGGACCGGACGGACATTTGCGAATCAGCGCAGCCAGACGGTGTCCCAGGCAGACTCGACGCATTCAAACAGGTTGGTTCGTCTCGAACGCCCCGGATTGTCGAGTATCTTTGCTCGTGGTAGCCAACGCTGCCGGTGATGCTGAAGATGCTGGTGATGTTGGCTGCGGGGCGGGGGTGGCTCACGGTCGGGACAGCGACAGACCAGACAGTTCGGACGGAATCAGACAGATCGGACAGATCGGACTGGACGGACATGCGTGGATCAGGCACGTCGGACGGCTTGGGGGCGGGCGCCTGCGGGGATCCTTGAGTCTAGCGGCCGGCCGGGGGCTCAGGCAGATTTTCATGAACCACCTTCTTTCCGTCCCATCGTGATGCCGCTGATGTTGGCCACCTCAGGTCAGATTGGTCGGACTGTTCGGACCGCCTCAGTTCAAGTTGCGGGCCGGACTGCTCGGACTGTTCGGACTGTTCGGGGAAGCGAGCCCGTCGGACTCCTTTGTTGTCGAGCGACCGTTCATGTTGCGGGTTGGACTGGTCAGTCTGGTCTGAGTCAGACTGGTCGGACTGGTTGGACTGTTCGGCCAGCCCAGCAACTCGGCTGGCTGAATCTCTGCTTTTTGCGGTTTCCAAGCCGGAAAACTTTGAGCGGACCTTCCTCTTCCATATAGACCTCAACTGTCCATCTTGCCCCGCACCCCATTGCGGGCGCGACCCGGAAATCACGGGGGAAGCGCGCCGAAGTGAAGTCGGCGAATTTGCATAAAGTTTCCCATCGCGTTCCGTGGGACAATGTGTTTTCACTACTGTTTTTGCAATATGTTCTCAATTTCTCAAGCCTGGTGGTAATGGAGGGTACAGTAGTTATGGACAATCTCGACCATAATAGGTGCAGCCGCCTTGATAACTCTTTACAGTGTTGCGGGTAGGCCATTTTTTACAGGGTTTTGACTACAACCCACACGTGTGTTTCACGGAACTTTTTGAACATGTTGACCGATCTTGGCCAGTTGCAACGTGCAGGAGGTGGTCTCTGACCTTTTTCGCCTTGGCCGGGTTTGGAAGGATGCAGAAACCAGCGCCCAGCCCTCGCGACCTGCCCCGGCAGTGCCTTGGAACACCAATGGCTGACACAATGTTGGGAATGCTCTGGGGTGTTTGCTTATTGCCACGGTTTGAGATATGTCGTCTCGCTCTGGTTCCTGTCACTGTCAAAGCGACAGCTCGCTCTGTCTTGCTCTGTCTCGCTCTGTCTCGCTCTCTCTCACTTCTCTTCTCTCTCTTTCTCTCTCTTTCTCGCCTCTCTGTCTCTATCTCTCTCTCTCTCTGTCTCTCTCTCTGTCTCTCTCTCGCTCTCTCTCTCTCCCGCTCTCTCGCTCTCTTCTCTCTTCTCTCTTCTCTTTTCTCTTTTGTTTCTTCTCTCTTCTCTCTTTTTGCTTGTCTCTTGTCTCTTCTCTTTTCTCTCTTTCTCTCGCTCTCTCGCTTTCTCGCTTTCTTCTCTCTTCTCTCTTCCTGGCTGTCGTCTAGTGCCAGGCCAGCACGCATGCTGTAATCGAGTTGGTAGTTGTCACAGGCTTGATGCAACGTTGAAGGCTTAAATGGGCAGCGGTTCCTCATCAGGACTCCTTGATGCCCCAGGGACCAATGGGTCTAAAGCACGTTGTTCAGCAGGGAGATGTTCATGCCAGCTTCCAGCAGCCGGCGTGTACCATGTGTTGATGCGGAAGCCATTTGCAAGATTGTGTTTTTGTTTGTTTGTGTGTCTGTCTGTTTGTTTGTTTGTTTGTTTGTTTGCTTTCTTGCTTGTTTGTTTGTTTGTTTGTTTGTCTGTCTGTTTGTTTGTTTGCTTGCTTGCTTGCTTGTTTTGTTTGTTTGTGTGTGTTTGTTTGTCTTTTTTTTTCGTTTCTCTGCCTTTTTGTTTGCTTGCTTGCTTGCTTGCTTGCTTGCGTGCTTGCGTGCGTGCGTGCGTGCAGGTTTGCTTGTTGACTTGTTGTTTTGTTTTGTTTTGTTTTGTTTGTTTGTTTGTTTGTTTGTTTGTTTGTTTGCTTGCTTGCTTGTTTGTGTGTGTTTGTGTGTGTTTGTGTGTGTGTGTGTGTGTTTGTGTGTGTTTGTGTCAAATATACACTTTTCCCTATGTTTCCCCTATGACATAGGCATGAGATGGCTGCCACTTTGGTGGCTCAAGCTGTCACAAAGGAAAAAGGTGCCGTGCCACTTCACATACTTCGGTTTGTGTTTGGTGAGACTTTAAGTCCTTGGAATTTTTCATGGTAGCGGAGCTCTGGGGCTTTCCACATTCTGCAAAGCCCATGGATGCTTTACAGCGGCGCCGTGCGCCTTACGCAGTGTCCGTTTTCCAGACGCTGCGAAGTTGGGCGCCGCGCGCCCCTTTACAAAGGACTTGTGAGCTGTGGTGGCACCTGGTAGCCGTTCTCTACGACGTGGGCAGCCCAGATTTTGTAGATGAGTTTCTCCTGACCCCGCCTGCTTCTGAGCGCAGCGGGTTGCCGCAAGCATTCGTCGACTTCTTGAATGGGGAGTCAGACAGCTATGTGTCAGCTTTGTCCGCGCGGCTGCGCGTGTATGCCCTGACGCGCCAGTCACTTCGCAGATGGTTTGAATGGACCGACAGCGCCAGGTTGGCAGTTGGGTCGTCGAGCAAGGTGGCGTGCAGTTCCCGAGTCTTTGCCGCACCGAAGCAGCATGTCTTATGTTGACCTTTTCTTGTGTTTTGTGTGCAACTTGTGATTTGCGTGAGAGTGCACCCGTGAAGGCTTGTACAACAGCTTGCTGCGCGTGACTCGCACGGGAACTTGGGCCTCCTGCGCCGCTGGGTGCGCAGAGAGGTTAGAATTAGTATGTCTGCAGGAGGCGCTTCAAGCCCCTGTGTTTGATGGCCAGGAGGCCGAGGTTCGCAAGCAAACTCGCAAGCTCATGCGTGCCATCCTCAAGTTTCCACTACTTGGCCGCCCAGGCAGCTTGAACAAGAAGTTTTTGTTGAGCATTCATTGCTACTGGAGCAAATTCTTGTTCAGCTGTATGGACAAAGGAGCACTTGGAGATGACATTGGGGACGTGGCAGGCAGACTTCGGTTGCCAATGCCATCCACTTACAACGGTTCGCCATCGGGGTGGGGAGAGTGGTCCTGGAACTTCGAAGTCTTCGAAGCATACATTTCCACGTTTGAGACTTCTGCAATCTGAAGGCAGAGCTGAGCTGGCCATTATTTTGCGGTGACTTTTAGCCGGAAGCTGCGCTATTTGTTGGCAATCCTCACTACAGACACTGCGAGACTTATAGTGAGGCAGAACACTGACAGCAACGGCTTTGAGACTTGGAGGCGGCTTTACCACAAGTTTGCACTGCCAGATGTCACAAGGCATGTCTCATTTTTAGCTCAGCTCTTAGACTTCAAGTTTAACCCAGCAATTTTTGAAGCTGACTTTAACACTTGGGAAACCATCAAAGTCAAGTACGGGCGGCAGACTGGAACTGAACTTCCCGATAGTGTGTTAGTGGCGACTTTGCTGAATAAGACCACCAGAGCTTTGCAGCAGCACTTGCGACTAAATGCAAAGTTCACTTAACACCTCTGCGCAAGTCAAAGACGTCGTGGCGGAGTACATTCGCTCGCGACACATCCTCAAGTCGAACAGCGACAACAACAACTGCCCAGCACCAATGCACATTGGAGCGCTTTGGGGGAACGGCAAAGGCGAAGGTAGCTAGCTCACGATGGGAGTCGCACGACATGGATCACTTTTGTTCCTTCGGCCAAAGGGCGTGGATTTTGAAGGAGTTTGCAACACTTTTCACGGTCTCCGGGAAAGCAGCTCCAAACCACTTGGTTGCTCCCACTTTTCATCCTGTCTATTACCACACTGATAGATGGGTAAGTGAGGGGAACACTTTGGCGACAATACACAAGAGGGCGCGCAAGACTTTGTTCACCCCAGAAGGCACTAAAGACCGCCCGGCTGCCGCAACTGAATTGGCTGGTGAGCGAGTCACACACTCGGAGTATGAAGCCGGCACCAAGGCAGAACTTGTTGACAATTGGCATACGGCTGAAGACCCGCGTGCCAAACTTGACAAACCTTTTGTTGGCAAGACAGAGACTTACACACAAACAGTCCACTTTGCCCGGTACCAAAGGCATGCACCGAAGCCTGAGCCTCGTCCACTTCCGAGATTGGAGGAACTTTCAGAGGCGCTACAGCCATCGGCGGAACTTGCACCTGCGCAGGTCCGAAACACTTTCCGTAACCACTTGCGCCAGGCCGCTGGAGGCACCTTGGAGGCCTACCAGACCACAATCCTGGAGCAACTTCGTCAAGTTGACCCGCTTACAAACCAACCTTATGACCATGACTTGTGTTTCGAACTTCCACCTGTCTGGCTACGAATTCACGATGTTCCACGGAAAACTTTGTTTGTTCCAATTCGTGAGATGACTTGCCGACGAACGTTTGACATTGAGGGTTGACGTTGACGGAAATGCAACTTGGTTAGAGGACGCTTGGCGTGCAGCAGGCGCTCAGCCTGTTGACTTTGCGAGGACTTCCTGTTCCAAGAGAGCCGGCTGGCTTGGAACGCCAGGAACACAGCTTGACGCGCTTGCCATTTCGATCATGGTGTCCCGCGCGCGTTCAGGCCGAATCCCGGCAAAACCAGTCGCGGACTTTGTCCTTGAAACAACCTGTAGTCCAACTTGACTTCTCGTTCTTGTCGGACCAGGCCGGAGGCCCGCAGATCACTTTAACGCGCCTGATGTGTTGTCTGGATTGGGACTTGCCGCAGTAATCCCGACAAAGGGTCGTAGCACTTACACTCAGGCTGAACTTCGACGTTTCATTCTTGAGTTTGGACGCACTTTCGGGGTGCTCCAGTGCGACCCAGAGCCAGCGCTCAAGGCGCTTGCTGAGACAGTGACTTCTGAGCTTGGTGGCTTGACCATGCGCGCTTCACCCGCAGGATGGACGCGGGCCCAAGGCTCCATCGAGAATGCGCAGGCCGCTTTGCAGGCTCAGGCTCGCTTTCCCTTAACGAACCCCTGCACACCTGGCTCATCAAGCATGTTAATGGCTGTTGAACCGCTAGTTTGTCAGAAGTGACGGCCGCACTCCGTATGAGAACCGGTGGGGTCGGAAGTTCACTTCAGCCATTTGCAGCTTCGGAGGGACGTGCGCTGTTCGGAAACCTGGACTCGCAAAGTCACAGCCCCAACCTTGCAAGGGCATTTATGGCTAGGCATGTGCACAGAGAGCGGAATTCACTTCCGCGCTGGCAGCTCTGGCGTGTTTAAGACACGCACGGTGAGGCGACTCTCGCCTTCGCTTCAAGTTGACGTGGATCTTCTTCCTCTTCAGCCAGAGCAACCTCCAGGACTTTCGTCTGAGGGGGCGACGGCTTCTCAGCCCGACGAGCCCAACTTGGCGTAAGATGACGTCCCTGGGTCCGAGCTTCAAGCTGACCATGTTAATGACTCTGGAGACTTGACTGCGTGTGCAGCGTTATCTGGAGCACGGCGACCGCTTGAGAATCCGGACGAGGGGATTTTTCGAGTCTGCTCGACCTCCGCTTCGGAGACTTTATCCTGATTCTCCGTTGGAGCACAAGCGTACTTCAGTCGAAGAAGCAGAAACCGAACAAGGTGGCAAGATTCAGCGCCCTGAGCTTGCTAGCCAGCGAATGATACTCTACCACTTTCGGATCTTAGCTGTTACCACAAAGGACTTGCTTGAAGTGCCTGTTGACCAGGATGAGTCTGAACTTTTGCTCATGAAGACGCTTGAAACTCCGTACTTGTGGTATGACACGGAGTCCGGAAATTGCAGGAGTGAAGAAAGAGATGCACTCGATGCTTGACTTTGAGGTGTTCTATGAAGAGCGTGTTGATCAACTTACGCAAGAGCAGCTTGACAACGCCATTTCCACGAAATGGGTCAAGACTCGCAAGCCGGACGGCAGTGTCCGCTGCAGACTTGTTCGTGGGCTTGATCAGAAAGTTGAAGACTTGGATGACACGTTTGCAAGCACAACGTTGAAGTTGTTGTTGACACTTGCTGCATCGTTTATCTGGACTGTCACTTGCGGTGACATCTCC